GGTACAAGCAGGAGATTCAGTGCTGGAAGTGGACCGTGAAGGGTGGCAAGTTGGTTTTGAGCAGCCTGGGGAGTGGTTACCCTCAGCAGGGAAACCATACAGGCAAAAGCAGGGAGCAGGAAATGAGCAAGTAAGGCCTATGTGCTCTGAGGGCCTCAGGCCAGCAACAGTCAGCTGGAGAGCAGGAGGGTCAACAACTTTCCTCTGCCTTGTCGGAAACTCCAGCCTCGCTGCCCCCAGCTGGCACAGCCTCCAGGGACTGGGAGGACTCCGTAGGAATCTGGGAACTGTGTGACTTCGGACAAGTGACTTCCCTTCTCTGGGCCTCATTTGCCTCATCTGGAAACTGGAGTCAGTAACACCTGACTGGTTTGCTGAGAGGAGAAAAACCAGACATGGGGGTTGTGGAAAGGCCCCAGTGCCTGTGTGACTCTATAAATGCTATTATTTAGCTGCTTTTTTTTTTTTTTAATTTCAATTCCACTCCACAAATATTTATTGAGCTAAAAAGTCCTGTGCAAATCTATTTGGTCAACTAAATTTTTATACAACAAATACCATTTTACCTGGGCCTGGGGTGGCAAAGTTGGGGAGGCCTTTCATTATTTGAGGCACCCTGGGGTGAATTCTTCTGAAAAGTCCCCATCGGTTTGTTTTTTTGAGTCAGTGAGGATTTGGGTTTCTCAAGCCTGCAGAGCGAAGCTTTCATTTGTTTCCCCGTGTGTTTTGAAAAGATCCTCCTGGCTGCAGCCCAGAAGATGAACCAAGGGAGGCAGCAGGCTGCCCAGAGTGGAGGCTGGTGCAGCGATCTCAACAATATGTTGTGGTGGCTGGGATGGGCAGTGACTTGGGATCGAGAGAAGGGGATCTGAGAGATGTTTAGGAGGTTTCTAAGAAATAGGACATGGTCTAGGGTTTTACATAAAAGAGGGTGAGCGAGAAGGAGGAGGAAGGAGTATGGGAGCCTCTTGAGCTGGTTCCAGGTACCCAGTTAGGCAATGCTGGAAGAGAGCAGGGTCTCCGGAGAAGGTCCACACAAGGCCATGGACACATACACTGAGGTGTAGGCAGCGGGCCGAGCTGCCAGTAGGAATTTAGCTGTGCAGACCTGGAGCTCTGAGGGACAGGCTGGGCTGGAGACAGAAATGCCTGTGGACAGGGAACCCCAGAGCTTGTGACACTTAATCAGTAAATATTTATTCAGCCTTGAAAATATTTGTTAAGTGAAATCTTCACTGAGCCCTTCCACGCCAGGTGCTGGGACAGGCACAGGGGTTCTGGCAATAAACCGAATCCACAAAACTCTCTGCCTTGTGGGGCCGGCATTTTAGTGGGAGGGGCAGGCAATCATCAGGTAGATTCCCCGTTCACACTCCCTGTTGTGTAGTGACGCGTGCAAGGAGGACAGCAGAGCGGGCAGGCTGGGCGCGGGGTGTGGCGGAGGGGAGGTCATAATAGCCACCCACAAGGAGGTCGCATTCACTGAGTCATGGAAGCCCCACAGCAGCTTTCTGAGGAAGCTGCTGTAATTATCCCATTGCAGAAAGGAGTGACTGAGTCACGGAGAAGCTAAGAAACTTGCCCAGGTTCACTCAGGGCTGTAACTGGCAAACCCTAGATGTTTACCTCAAGCCCATGTTCTTCGGTGGAGAGTCTTAACGACGCTGCCCGTCTGCCTCTTGTCGACAAGGTCAGGTCTCAGCAAAGTCCTGAAGGAAGTGAGGGGGTCAGGTTCGCAGACATCTGGGCGACCAACATTCCAACTGCAGGAAGAGCAGGTATGAGGGCTTGGAGGCAAGAATAGGCCTGGCGTATTTGGGAAACTGCATAGAGGCAAGGGGAGTGGGCAAAGAGGAAAGGGGAGATTGTTGGTGGTGGAGGGGGTCACCTGTGGCATCTGTAGGGCCGTCAGCTTTTACTTGAGGTTAAGTAAGGCCTTGGAGGGCTTACGTTTGAGCAGAGGAGCGGAGGTTGTGACTTGTGTTTTCACCTTTTTCCTCCGGCTGAGCCAGGGCGGAAGCAGGAGACAGGAAAGGACAGGTATAATCTAGGCAGGAGCTGGTGGCGGCTCTGTCCATGGTGCTGGTAGCAACGCAGGTGTTGCATCAGGAAGAGTTGTGAGCGCTGGGATGTGGAGGGTGGAGGAGACAGAGGTATTAGGAGAGGCTCGGGCCGGAGTGGGTTCCTTCGACCAAAATAGGGGCAGCTGTGGGAGGAGACACTTCACAAAGTGCTTTCCATGTCCATTATCCCTTCATCCCATTCTATGTTCACCCATTACCGCTGGCCACTCTCTGAAAGAGGCGTGGAGACTTCTGGAGGTTACGTGACTTGCTCAGGATCATTCAGCCAGAGTGTGCTGGAGCCAGGACTGGAAGCCAGGTGTCCATCACAGGATCTGAAATTTCCATTCACTGATTCAGTCAGCAAACATTTCTGGAGCAGTTCCTGCAGGCCAGGCACTGTACAGTTGACATTGATGACCAGTGATGATGGCCCTGCCCCCATGGAGTGCCCAGTATGATGGAGGAGGCAGTGTCAACCAGCGATCACGGAAGTGATTTTCTTCTCTCGGTGTAAGTGGCAAGAAGGAGAAACCCAGGATGCCCTGGGAGCCAGTAACCAGGGAGCCAATATAGTTGGGAGGTCAGGGAGGGCTTCCTGGAAGAGGTGAATGTGAAGTGCAACATGAAGACTCTGGAATAGAGGGTCTGCAGGGGGTATGGGGGGGGCTTCTAGGAAGATACTCTTTGGTTTCCCAGGCTGCAGTGGAGGAATGCTGAGGGGACTGCATGTTGCCTGAGGATGGCTGCCACTTTGGAAGTTGCAGAATATTTGTTAGTGTTGGGTTGTTGTAACAGCTTTATTGAGATCGAATTTATATACCATGCAAGTCACCCAATTAAAGTGTACCATTTGATGGTTTTTAGCATATTCAGAGATATGCAGCCATCAGCACAATCCATTTTAGAACATTCTCATTATTCCAAAAAGAAACCATGAACCACTTAGCCATCACCCCCGCCCCAAGCTCCCCACTGACAATTACTAATCTACTCTCCGTCCCTACAGAATTGCCTGTTCCAGACATTTTGTGTAAGTGAAATCATACCCTCTGTGGCCTTTTGTGACTGCCTCCTTTCACTTAACATAATGTTCTCAAGGTTCATCCCTGTTGGAAGTCTCAATCTTTAATACCAATAGAGCTGCAGAGACCTGAGAGGCTGTCCTGTGTGCTCCTCCCACCTGTTGTAAAGCGGGGACTCTGGGCAGGGAGGGGGCCAATGTGCTCTGGTCCTGCAGAAAGAAAGTGGGAGAAAACCCCCAGATCAGGGTCCCCGCCCTCCTGCCCTGCACAGGACACCTTCCTCTGTTACCACCGCTTCTCCCTCCACTTTGGCTCTGGCTGATCTTGGCTACAAGTGACAACGTGGTTGAGAAGGCACCCTCCCAAGCATGGCTTTCCATGCACTGGCAATTTTCACGCCCCATGGTGTATCTTGAAATCTTGTATGCATCTATAAGAATTTGTGTGCACTGATTCAGGACTGTTTGAGAATTTGACATTTTTTCTGCTACTTAAACATTTTTTTGTCAAGACAGTTATGCCTGTTTTTCCTGGTTGGTGATTTTTTCACTGGGGGAGACAGGGCTAACTGAGTGCTGGTCTTGGCATTGGAAGCCCTGCCTCTTCCTCCGTGTGTACCTGTGGGTAATTGCTGAATCTGCTTGAGCCTCAGTTTCCCCCCCCCTTGAAAAGCAGGGATAACACGGTGAGGAGCGGTAAGGAGCACAGGTTATGGGCTTGGCACAGAGTAGATGCAGCTATAGGGAAGTCAAGAGGGCTTTCCAGGTACTTGGGGTAACCAGAAGAGGAAGGTGACCCTTCCTCACCATCAGCTGGCCCTTTCTCTAGGTTCCTACAGCGCCTCCCCTCTCAGGGCTGAGGTGGAAAGCTTGGGTTCAGATCCTAGCCCCCACCTGGCTTCTTGCCCCCACGTCAGCTCTGTCTCCTCTGTGTCTGAGTCTCTCCACCTGTAGAATGAGAGGCTGAGAATCTTCCACGGAGGTCTCCAAGGTAGCCAAGAGGCTCCTGGGAGGGTGTTGTGGATTGGAGGCGCCTCCTCCTTCTCCCAGGAGGGCCTCGCTCCTGCCAATTTAAAGTTCAAACCAGGAGCAGTGGCACCTGTTTGGGAAGGGTGGGTGGAAAGGGACACCTGGCATCCCTCTGCCTCTTGCCCAGTGCGTTATGTGGGAGGTGATGAGCAGCGACGCCATGAAAGGCCTCCTGCTGAGTGCAGGGGACCGGGCAAAGCCTCTTCGGAGGGTCTTTCTCAGGCACATATGCCAGGCCTTGTGTTCTCCCTCCAGTGACCTTCTCACTCCTCATTAGCACCCTCAGAAGAGGCCCTCTTATTCCCATGGGACAGAGAGGAAACTGAGGCTTAGAAAGTGGCAGCTGCCTGTCCAGGGTCGCCCAGCGAGTTCAAACTGGGATTCAAACTCAAGCCTGTGTGACTCCAGCCCCTTTCCCCTCTCCCTGCCATCCAGGGAAAAGAAGGGAAAAGCAAGACAGTGGCAGGGAAGATTGGAGCCTTTGGAACCCTGGCTTCCTGGCTGCTGTGGGGATTCTGTGGGTGGTGGGAAAGGCATCGTAAATATGCATGACATGTAAATACGCCTCTGAAAAATAATGTGGGGGCCCACATGAGCCAGGATGCCAGAGTGCTCTGGAAAATGTAGTGTTGTACAAACACTTGGGTTTCTATGATGATCGCTCCATGGTGTCTTCCTCCCCAGTGTTCCCAGGGCCGGTCCGGGCATCTCGGGGTAGAGGGTTTATTCCAGGCACCTCCTCATTGACATTATCCCCCATTCCTACAGACGCTGGTGCCTCCCTCTCCGCCAGGTGCTGGGTGGCCAGAACCGGGTCTGTCCAGGCGCTGGAGGGCCCCTGTCCCCTGCCGCTTCCCGCCAGTCTCTGATTGTGTGCCCGGAGGGATGTGTGTGCCAGCCTTTGGTCCAGTGCCTGCTCCCGAGGTGACGCCTGCTGCTTCCCGACTGGTTCCCATTATCCCTCTGCGCATAGCTCCCTGGTTGGTAAGTAATGGCGTCCGCAGCTTGGGCACACAGAATCGGGGTTGCTCCCTCGCCCGCCCACGCTCTGCATGCCTGGGAGATGCCCAGCCTTCCCCCCCAGTGGCGCCCACGTGCTGGCAGAGGGACCTCGGTGAGAGCTTTTCTTCGTCTGGGCCCAATTCGTAGTTCAACTGCTTGTCGTGTTCAGTCCTCCCAACACCCCAGGAGGTGGGAACAGTAATTGCGCCTGTTTTCCGGGAGGGGAAGCCGTTGGCCTGAGGGTGCGCACAAGTCCGGCTCCGTTGCCCTCGGAGGCCAGCTCTCGCCACACCTGAGGGGCTTGGGCCGTGGGCAACACGTGCTCAGGAAGGCGAGGGGAGCAGTGAGCCATGCTGGGAGCCACAGAGGGGCTGAGATGAGGCCATCAGAGTTCCTGAATCTTGGGGAGCCCCCTTGTTCTCGCCCCTCTAACCTGTTCCACCCACACTCCTCCAGTCCCCGCTTTGCCTAACCCCAAATGGGACGGGGTGGTGCACCCCGCGTCTCTCTGCCCGTCTGAGGGCGCCGCAGAGTACCCACACCTGGTCCCGTCGTCCTTGGCAACAGCACGCCCCCACCCGGTGGCAGCTACGGTGCCTGACCCCCACTACCTTCTTGCACCTCACCCTCCTGCCGCCTCCCAAGGCTGCTCCCAAGGCTGCTCACGGATGAGGAAACAGAGGCTTCCAGCAGCTCAAGGGGCTTGCCCGCGGTCACCCCCCACCCTCAGCTCGTTTAGGATCTGCCTCCTTATCTGGCCTCAGCTCCTCACAGGTGAGCTAGGACGGCTTCATTCCCCAGTGGACAGCCAGCAGCGGGTACAGCGCCCGGCGCAGAATGGGTACACAGTGATAACTGTGGAAGGAAGGCAGAGGGAGAGGAGAGAAGGCACTCTCCCCTCCCTCCACCCGGACACCAGCAGGCCCCCAGAGCCCACTGGCCTTTGGGCCAGCTGCTGGTCCCTGCTGCTCCCAGAGAGCTCGAAGTCAGCTCAGGTCAGCAGGATGGCCAGCCCCTCTGGTCTCAATTCTCTTATCTGCCAGCAGCTGCCCGGCCTCCCTGATGGGGTGGTTATGAGAAGGGAAAAGACTCGTAAATATGTATAATATGCAAATGTCATAGGATAATAATAAAAAAAAAACATGAAGTTTGCTGTATATAATGTATGTAGAAGGGCTTCCTCTGTGAGAACAAGTTGCTGCACACTCGTGTAGTGCCAGCCTCATTAATAACTGGGAAATGACCCTATTAATTAGCTGCTCCCTAACCCCACTCCCCCAGACTGGCCTCCGCCTGCTGTAACGACCACAGACACCTATTGCATTTGGCTGAGATGCTGTTGCAAGAAAAGAAGTGATAAGGGTATCATGGTCTGAGAGCTATGAGTGTCTGTGGGATGTCATCATTTGCCAGCACTCCCGGTCATGCCCTGGGCTCCGCGTGACCTCCCTAGGGACTGAATATAGAGCTTGAGCAACCTGAACCACGGCAAGCATTTCTTGAGCAATGACTGTGGGCCTGGCCTGACACTAAGTGCTTCGTTTTCTTCTGATCTCAGTTAAACTAGCAATGACCCTATGGGAGGTCGAGGCATGGGAAGACTGAGGCACATGGACCTGGGGCACAGGGCTTGGGCACCGACATCCTGGTCCTTCCTGAAAATGACCGCCATTCAGTGCCCACGCCCATCTCCCCCAAGCCGGGCATGGCCAGAGGGGCAGGACCATGGCCGCTGACATAACAGCATGGTTGGCAGTCCCTGGCGTGTGTGGCCCAGTGACGGAGAACGGGATTCCTTGGCACGAGTTGGGAGAGCAGCCGTCAGCATTGTGGGAAAGATGGAGGCTCGGGTGGGAGCGAGGGAGGTGTTACTTGCTGCTATTTTGCTAACAAACTGGTTATTTAAAGATTAGCCAAAGCCAAAGTTGGGAAACCGGATGGGGAGTCTCCACACCCGGGGCAGAGGCGGCAGGGGAGGGGGGTTCTGGGAGCCTGGTTGGGTCAGGACAGAGTAGCCACGTGTTTTTTTTTTCTTCACTTGCTTTTTATTAGTCATAATAGCAACAGAGTCGGGAAAAGGATCACCTGTGTGAGGAGAGGCTAGAAGGATGGGGGGGCAATGTAGGCTATTCATTGACCCAGGTGGTGGTGGCACAATGCTTTATTTTATGATAATTTATTGCAGTCCACATTTTTTTTTCTAAAATTTTTTTAAATTTATTTATTTGACAGACAGAGATCACAAGTAGGCAGAGAGGCAGACAGAGGGAGAGGGGGAAGATGCGGGGCTCGATCCCAGGACCCTGGGACCACGACCCAAGCCAAAGGCAGAGGCCTTAACCCACTGAGCCACCCAGGTGCCCCTGCAGTCCACATTTTTAAGAAAGATTTATATTATTTAGAGAGAGCATGAGCAGGGGGAGGGGCAGAGGGCAAGGGCGAGAGACTCTCAAGGAGACTCCCTGCTGAACACAGAGCCCAATGTGGGACTCCGTCTCACAACCCCGAGATCGTGACCTGAGCTGATATCCAGGGTCAGATGCTGGACCGGCTGAACCACCCAGGCGCCCCAGCATTTGCTTTGTGCACTTTTCCCTCTGTGTTCTATTTTGTTGTCAAAAGGCTAAAAAGCACTTATAACAGTAACACTATTTATTGAGCAATTGCTAAACGTCAGGCTCTTTGCTAAGTATTTTACCTCATCTTACGGAATCCTCACAGATGTTGTTATTGTGGCCTTTATTCAGAGGAGGAAATCAAGGCTCTGAGAGGCGAAGTTACTGGTTATGGGGTCAAAGAATGCTCCGGGGAAGCGGGGGGCAGATGGGATGAGAAACCGGACGGGCTGACTTGGCCATCACTACCCCATGTTTGGGGAGGGGGGACCAGGAATTTTGCCCAAAAGGGCAGAGGGTTCCTGCACCTGTTCCTCCGATGCATGTCAGTGCCTCTTGCATTGTTAAGGCTTGGAGGGCAAGCAGGTGTCCGTGGCCGTGGGCAATAGATGTGTCTGGGAGACTGACCCTGAGCAGAACATTAGCCATTTGAAGGCTAGGAATGGGCCATCTCTAGGGACAGGCCAGCGAAGGAGGCCAGGGCATACACAGGAATCATCCAAGATAAAAAGAGGTTATCTAGGTGAAACAGAGTCAGACCCAAACTCGGGACTAACTGCACGGGGACCAAACTGCCATTTCCGGAGGACCTACTCTGTGCTAAACACATTCATTATCTTTTTTAATCTTCAAAACCACCCTGTGAGATCAGTGGTATTGGCCCCATTTTACAGATAAGGCGACTAAGGCCTTGAGAGGGGAAATGACCGGCCCCAGCCCACACAGCCAGGGAGTGGGAGAGCTGCTCCGTCACACTCCAGTGCCCTGTGTCCCACGCATGCAGCAAGCGCTGCTTGGGGCTGGGGTCCTGGCACGTCAGGCACCAGGCACAAAAGCTGCAAGGAGCCCATGACTGTGGGTCCCTGAACTGGTACTGGGGATGTGGCTGGGGAGAGGGCATCTCCAGACCCTGATGCAGGGATGCCCACTCTGAAGAGTGGGCACCAGCCGCAGAGGCGTTCCCGCCTTCCCAGGACATTTGTCGATTGCCTGTCCCTGCTAGTCTCTGCTCTCACAGAGCACACAGCCTTGGGGAGAGACAGATAGTACGTGATCACCCAAACAAGTAAGGCGCATGGGAAGTGACTCCCATCAAGGCAGTGGAGGAAATTAGCAGGTGATGTTGCAAATACAGACGGGGGTCAGGGGGACCTGACTGATGTGCTCCAGTCCCAGATGGCCTCTCTAGGGGTGTGACCGCTCGGCCGGTGCCTGAAGCATGACGGGGATCCCAACGTGCTAGAGAATGTTCACTGGGGACTGTTGACCGTCGGAGGACAGTTGGGAATAACCTATATGTCCATCACCAGGAGACTAGTTCGATCCATTTACTGAAGTCCTCCAATGGTGCCCACTGTTGCTGTTAGGAATGGGGCTGCGGCCTGAGATTCCCCACTGCGGAAAGAACTTCCGAGTATTGTAGAGTTGGGGAAAAAAAAAAAAAAAGAGGTTATAAAACAGCATGGGCAGCATGATATCATTTTTTAAGAGCTGCATGTGTTTCTGAAAACTGTTCACAGTGGGGGCATGGGAGATCTTTGCTGTCTTCTTTATACTTTTCTAGATCTGGAGTCCTTTCTGAGTGTTAGGACTTGGTGGGGAGGGACAGGGGGTTTGGGCTCCCACAGTGCTGCCTGAGGCAGCTCTCTTCTCCAGCTGCCTACCGCAGTAATATGGGGTGAGGCAGGGGCTGGGGCATCCAGCAGATCTGGGCCGTACCTTAGCTCTACCTTTTCTTGGCTGTGTGACCTTGGACAAGCCACTCTCTCGCTCTCTGAAGCGAAGTTGTCCCTTCTGTGAAACAGAGACAAGAACAGCATCCGAAGGTGGCTGTGGGGCTTTCGTGAGTTAAAGCATGTAGAGGACTAGAACAAGGCGGGTGTCGCATCACTGGGGGCAGCTGCTGTTGTCACTGTGACTGCGAAAGGTGACAGAGACTGTGTGCTCGTCACATCCTGCATGGGCTCTCAGTGCTGACTGGTCCCTGAGGCTGGTCTCTTCCCTTGGTCACTACGAGTCAGCCTGAGCTGGGCGATAAGGCCCAGGGAGGTGGGGAGCTTAGCCAGGTGCACACAGCTGGCTGGACCCTCCCACCCCCAAGGTCTGGCTACCCCCCAACCAACTCGCTTGCATATCTGTCAGTGAATATTTTTGCCAGAGATGCTGTTATGGGGCACCCCTAGCCCTGGATTTGCTTTTTCTGATAGCCGCAAAACCTGCCCAGGAAGACAGTTGCTACCTTTCTAGACACTCAGAGAATCTTAAATCTCAGGGAGAGAAACTTCTAGTTGTGAAGTCAAACTCCTGGACTCATAGAATCTTAGTCACAAATAATCCAGCAAGAGCAAACATGGGCCTTTTACAAGT